CACTTTAAACTATGTACTAAAGTTTGGGTTAGGAATTTGTTATGGACTGAATTGTAACTACCACCACCAACCCCCACCCCCAACAACCTCTACATTCCTATGTCCAAGCCCTAACCCCTAATGTGACTGTATTTGATAGGGCCTATAAGAAATTAATTAAGGTTAAACGAAGTCATGAAAATGGGGCCCTGATCCAATAGGATTAGTGTACTTCTAAGAGGCACTTGGGGAGCTCGTGTTCTCCCTCTCCCCACACACACTCAGAGGAAAGGCTATGTGAGTACAAAGTGGCCGTATAGCAGCCTTAAAGACTAGTAAAACAAAAGAGCCTTTATCAGTAACTGAACTCTGCCAGTACCTTAATCTTGTGTTTTCTTGCCTCCATAACAGTGAGGAAATAAATTTCTGTGGTTTATGCCACCTAGTCTATAGTATTTTATTATGGCAGCCCTATTACATGATTTAACCATATTAGGTATGTTTTTATGAATTGAATCTGTAGTTTATATGATTTAGAAATGAAATGCAACGCTTCTTTTTGTTCAAATAGGAAGTGAAACATGTTTACCTAGTGGTGGAAAGAAGACATCATCATTTCTGTATTTCTCTAAGCTGCTAGATCCTGGGGAATTATGATATTTTTAGCTGGATGTTATGAGGAATATAGTTGTATTTTGAGCTAAATTGCTGAGAAACATGAATACAGTTGAGAAACAATCATCTATGGCAGAAGAGCAGAACAAGTTACAGGGCTTCTCTTTTCCTATATAAATAACCTTGCTGAGCATCCCCTTCTATTAATTATTATTGCATTGGTAGAGATTGATGTTATTTTGTTAATGTTGCATCCTTTAAATCTCATTCTAAAGAATCTTATTCTAAAGAAAAGCAAATTGGCAGAGTGGAGGCTTGCAGTAGACTAAGACTTTTTTGTAACCTCTATTTTGCCTAGATATGCTAGGAGAGCTAGGGTTTAAGGTAAAATATTGTTAAGTAAATAACACCTTTTTCATTGTATCACCTAATTGTATTCTGCTCCTGCAAACATATTTCTAAATTGTTCTGTCTCACATCAACAGATGGGGAGCGTTCTGTTCAGATTTACATTGTTTTTCATACTTTTGCTGATTGTACGCAACTACATTTCCTTTAGAGCTACGGTTGACCTGACAGTATTGGCTGTTAGTTGGCAGGGAGGATTCACCTAGAATAAATGGTTACTTCCTGTTTCTGTCTACAGACATGAAAAAATGGAGTGCTTTTCTCCAAAGGTTTCTCAGAACTTAGTGGTACAACATGTTTGAAAGTAGGACAATTACTTAAAAAGCTTTGTCTGGTTACCTTCAGATAAACATTTCCATTAATTTTTCATCTCATTTTGAGCCCTCTTCTAGTTTGTAGTATTTTTTCAGTGTATGTAGGTGGCCTCAAACCATATGGCAAAAGCATTTTCCCAAAATAGTCAATCTTTGTCTTACTATGAACTGTTTTCTGTATTTTCTTCTCATTGAGCAGCTCCTCTCAACAGGCCCAAAACCGTTTTTCTACTTTGATCTGCCTCTGATTATGCTGATGTCTTAGGTCTTTTTGGGAACTCATACATGTTTTCATAGCACATTTATGAATGAAATTGCCCATGCCTTCGCTCTGTGTTACGTGAAGAAAAAAAAATGTGTTCCTATTTTTAGATAATATATATTGAATGTTCTCATAGTCATTGCCCTGTACGAAGTGGTTATCACACACAAGATGCTATCTCTTGTGCTCAGTGATGTTTATTATGTTTCTGTCTACTTTAAAGTGCTTAACTTCTCGGGTTCTTTTCCCCATTAAATGTTGCTTTTAGGTATTTTAGTTGTTTCTAATTCCATACATGTGTACTTTATAAAATATGTTAGATGAGCATTTGTAAATGAGAAATTAGAGTCCCAGATTTTTAATGAATCGTTTTATTCTGTCTACTAAAAGTCTGATTTCTTCCATCTTCAGGCATCTGTCCTAAACACAGTGAGGTTGTCGAGTAGCACTCCCTCCCATCTTTGACACAGATACTTCCCTGCAATCCCAACTCCCAAAGTGGATGTTGCCTGGGGCAGGTAAGGATAGGGAGAGTATAGATTATTCTGTATCTGCTCTACGTCTTACGAGGGCTCTTGAGAACACGTATTCCACAGTGCTTCAAATTCAAAGAAGCGTTAAATCTGAAAGAGCCCATAGCAAGTTATCAAGACTATCAGACTACTTCCTGTTTCCTGAATGTACTGTGTACTTTTACATTTCCATGCCCTTGCTTGTTTTGGAGCATCTTTGCTCCTCAGGCTGCCTTGCAAAATGCAGCTTGTCCTCCAGCACCCTAAGCTCTGAATTAATAATTCCCTCATCAGTGATAGCAAGGCATTATAAGAAACTATTAATAAATAATTTCTCCCACCATATGTTTGAGTGCCCTGCAACATCATAGTATAGTGTTTAGTTTGTGTTGTTTTTCTATTTATACTTTAAGTTTTGAATGTTTACTTGAGCAGATGGGGTTATATTATAGTAAGAATGGTGTATGTATGTATTTCGTGGGATAAATAAGAAAGTAGAAGGTAAAATACTTTTAAATGACTTTCATTGCTAGCGTTTTTCATAGGAAATGAATTCACTCACACTTTTAGGTTTCTCATGGAAGTCATTGAGAAAGAGAATATACAATGTAGTTCTGTGTTACTGAGAAACCATCATGGTATTTTAAAAACATGCTATTATCTATATTACAGTGAGACTCACTTTATTCTGAAGCTGCCAAAAGACCTGTCTTACATAGATTGTAGAACCATTGTTATGGGAGAGGATTAATATATTTCTGATTTCTTAATTTATGATCATATGCTACTACTATAATCAAAAAATAAAGTTTTGTTTTGTGTTTTTTTTTTTTTTTAAAAAAAGAAGAGACAGGCCAAGGGTGGTGGCTCACACCTGTAATCCCAGCACCTTTGAGGCCCAGGCGGGCGGATCACGAGATCAGGAGTTCGAGATCAGTCTGACCAACATGGTGAAACCTCGTCTCTACTAAAAATACTAAAATTAGCTGGGCATGGTGGTGCGTGCCTGTGAGCCTAGCTACTCAGGAGGCTGAGGCAGGAGAATCGCTTGAACCCAGGAGGCAGCAGTTACAGTGAGCCGAGATCATGCTACTGCACTCCAGCCTGGGCAACAGAGTGAGACTCCGACTCAAAAAAAAAAAAAAAAAAAAAAAAAAAAAAAAAGTTGCTGATGTTGACTATATCATATTGGAAACTGAAAAACGAAGAGGTGAATTTCATCCTTAAAGATAAGGTTTTAATTTTAAGATACTGGTGTTTATATGAATAATGAAAGAATTGGTGAGAAAGTAATTCCATCTAATTCTTGTCTTCCTGATCAAGAACAGTTAGAGAAAAATTTCCAAATGAAGCATTAGAACCAAATTATAAGAGGTTTAGTACATATGATATAGTAAGCAGAAAACCTGGCTTTTACCTTTTGTTTGATATTTTAGTATCGTTAGTGTAGGTCATCCTTCAATTGAATGCTAATGTTGACAATAACTTGACCTAATACTTTAGTCATCTTTTTGAATGCCACTGGACATTTGGATCTTGGAAGATGGTAACTCTTAGTACTTCACCCTGGTTTGTATATATTATTTATTTGGGAATCTATCTGCCATTGTGGTTTTCAGAGCTCAGCATAATTTAAATGTTTTAGGTGGGTGATTGAAGTACTTGAATGGGATATCTTTTCATCCATCTGCTGATGACTCACTAAAGAGTATTTTAAAGAAAGAATGTTCTTCAACTCACCAGTGTATTAGAGGAAAAATGTCATATGGTATATCCCCTTAAAATTTAAATTTTTAGAAAACAGAAATGTATAATTCCAGTATGACTGTGAATACTCATATTACCATAGACCATCCCCAATTGTAAGATATTTATCTTTTTACAAAATATCCTAAAATGGGTAAATTATTTCATAAAAACTGGCATACAAAGTTGCTCTAATTAGAACATAATTGTATTTAGACTTAACCATTACTTAAAGCTGTCAGTAGTTTGCAGCAGAATCCAAACATCTACTGTATTAAACTTCATCTAAATCCACATTATTCTTGATGATATTTTATTATAATTGACACTTTGTTCATTGATGCTTGAGAGATTGTATTTGCAGGTTATACTTTTATATAAAAATTAAAATAATTTTTTCTGGTTTCACAGTATTATTTTTTTAATGCCTGCTGTTGCCCTTCATCTTCTGAACCCTACTGATTTTTCTAGGTCAAGCTAAAGAATGTCAAGCTTGATGAAGTTTTCTTCTATCTCAGTAGCTTAAATTATGGCATTTGGACATGGTTTATAGTACCTATTTCCTTTTTCCTTGTATTAGTTAGCTGTGAATTCGTTACGCCTGCCTCTTATACTGGCCCCTAAAGAGCATTGACTATGTTTTAGGCATCCTTGTAGCACCTTTCACGGTACATAGCCCCAATATTTTCAGGAAGTATTTATGAAAATCATTGTTTTTTCCCCAATTTTCCAAATTAGACTTACAAGTAAGTCAGTAACTTGAGGTTTAAATTTGGAATTGCTCAGTTAGCCATGATGGTTAAGGCTCTATAGTTAAGATTGCCCACGTTTGAGTGCTTACTTCATTATGTATCAACTGTGAGACTCCCTCATCTGTAAATAGAATGTTAGTATCAGCCTCCTAGAGTTGTTGATGAAGATTAACATAATTAGTTTGTTTAAAACACTTACTGAGATGCCTAACATATAGGATACACTCAATATAATGTAGTATAATATAATTTTTGCTAAATGTAGTCCTATTGGGGTAGCCTCTTAGCCCCTTGAAGGCCTGTCTTTTGGTCTTTAAATCTCATGCACCTAACCTAGTAGACAGTCAACACTCAATAAATACTTGCTTGAAATGAATTGATTGATTTACCCTATTTTTATCTTCCATTACAGCCCACTGTTTGTAACATGGAAGATTGGTCGAGACAAAAGATTACGTGGATGCATAGGTACTTTTTCTGCCATGAATTTGCATTCAGGACTCAGGGAGTACACACTTACCAGGTGAAAACCAATTTTTGTTACCTCTGCTTTTACATTTCAAAAAAAGAAAAACTTACGAAACTTGAATCTGATACTTTAACACCTTTTCCTTTACTGAGTTGTCAATGTTCTTGATTCCTTTCTTGCCAGCTTTTTCCTTGTCTTTGCCCATTTACTTCCTCTTTTGTAAAATGTTACTGTTATATATTATCATAATATAAAATGCTGTGATTAATGTATTCTGCCATCGATGTTTTGAAGTGTTTTTTTTTTTTTCTTCTAATGCCAACGTACTTGTATAACTTGAAAACCAATGACTAAATGTCCATGGGTTACCAAAATATGTGATTTCTATAATAAGAGTCATTATTTCTTCCCTATTATGTTTTTATAAAACAGTTGTTGTCTCTTTCATCTTACACATTTTGTTACATTTTTAAGTACTTTTGGAATTGAAAGGAGAGCCTAGGAAGAAAGTGATTCCACAGCCTAGCAGTATAATCATTCACATTCATACATCACCTAGAATTAATTGTAGCTTATTTTCTTTTATCTAACACAAGGACAAAGTAATTCCTCATTACAGTTGTTTAAAACTTTGTTCTTAATTTCTGAATTCACAAAAAGCTATCTAGCACACAATGTGATTTTTTTGGTTCAAGTTTAGATTTCAAGCAAATTGTGACCTAAAATGTTTTCAAAGAAGAAAATTCCTTAAATAATAAGCTATTAACAAAGGAATTTCCTGGTTTTGTTCACATTTTAGGGTGATTATCTGATACAGTTTCTATAGTTGTAATATGCACAGTGTCTGTCCAACAAGAAATTGCTTCCTGCTGACTATTGGTACTTGGGGCAAGTTGCTCAACCTCCATATGTAAAATAGTAATTACAGTATTTTGTTCTATATATTTAATAGAGGTGTTAGGAGAATGAAGTAATAATCACTATTTTACTTCAGGATTAATGTGGAACATTCATTATTTTACTGTAGAACTGCATAAATGCAGGCTCATAGCACCAGTTAATAAAATGTTGTAACTGAGTTTAGTATTCCCATTTTTGAAGGTTTGCAGTAGTTCACAGCTGCAGGGTTTTCTCCACTTACAGTGAAGCCCAGAAAGAAAAGCAAAGACTTGGAGGATCATATTCATTTTTCAGCTTTCCACAGGTATCAGAAACTGGGTATTTGGGCTTGATTAAATAACATACAGGCTGTAAGGGCTGAAACACATGTTCTGGAAATAAATACAACTTGTTAAAGATAATATAAGTACTAGTCTAGGCATGTTAGTTTGTTTGTTTGTTTGTTTTTTTTCTGACATAAAATACAACAGGCTCATTTTTGGGACTTCAGCTAATTCTGCCAGTGGTTACCTTTTTAGGACAGGTACATATTAAATTGCACATTTAATACTAATCAATGGCAATTTATTATACATTTCCCAAAATAAGTTGTTATGAGGAACACTGGTTCCTTTGCACTACCTGAAGAAAATAATTATGTGACCAAATAAGTTTGGGAAACACTGATTAAAAAATGTCAACAGCTCTGCTCACTGTAGGACTTCTCATAACCTTTTCTGTGAATAGTGTTATGTATATCTAAAAGAGAGAAATAGAGTGTAGCATATTCCAGGCTTATTTGACTATAGGACTCTATTATCCTGTCACCCCAAAGTCTGAGTGTTCAAAGGAATATGTTTTTGGAAACGCAAGTCTGTTTTCGAAACAGAATATTACTTTATATTTGGGTAGTGAGAGTTGGTAGTATAGAAACCCTTTGTACTTTTTAGTGAAATTGTATCAGAAATCCCATTATCAAACATTATATACCTTAGAAATCTTGCATAGTAGTAACTGTGGTAGCAATTGGGTTTTATTTAAAGAAAAATATTCTTTTGCCTGTGTTGGCAAGGGGTGAAAACATCCAACTTTTCTGGACTTATACATTTATATCCTAGGGTAATGACCAAAAGAATTACAGTATAATTTTCTGACAATAGTTTGATTCTGAATGAATTGTTCAAATAGTTGAACTTGGAAATTTGCCTACATTTGTATACTGTGTTACCCTCATTGCAATCTATAGTTCCTTCTGTTTACTTTTCAACTTTTTTCTCATGTTTCTATACAATTTCCTCAAATTGTATATAGCACATTAAAGAGGGTTTTGTGTGTGTGTGTGTGTGTGTGTGTGTGTGTGTGTGTGTGTGTATTTACACTAATGCACATACCTGGTTTTACTTCTCATTTTTGTTTGGGTTAATTTCTTTTGTTTATCACAGGATATTAACAATCACACTATTTGGAAAAGATGAACAAAAGAAAATGAGTCTTACAATCTTTTTTCCTGGATTCATTTTAGCATCAAAAATTGTAAGGAGTCATTTTTTAAAAGTTGGAATATAATCTTTTTCTGTCCAGTAGTGTGCTTATCATTTTATATGTTATGTTATTATGGTTATTTTTGTTAATGATGACCATTTATTAAGAATTTACTACATCAGATGTTGTTGAGGAGCTTTACATGCATAATCTTTGTAACAACTCTTAAGTACTAATATCTACATTTTCAAAGTGAAGAAACTGAGAATTAGATATTTTCAATAATTTGCCCACTCACACATCTATTACATGATAGATCCAGGATTCAAACCTAGAGCATGTGTCTACAAAGTCCATCCCGTAACCAATACATTTAAGATGAGACCCAAAATTTTCTGATAACTTATGTTTTGCAGTTTTGTCATGAAAATAATGAACTTGAAAGTAAGTTACTATAAATTTTATAGTAAAATTCAAAATTCTAGTTAGGAGTCAAGACTGAAATTTTGGTACATTATTTAAAATTCCAGAAAATCCATAGATAGTATTATGGAAAGTATGTAACTCAGAGTTGTATAGACCACACAGAAGAAAATTGACTTGAATTAATACTGTATTAAAGGATAAAGCTTATTACAAAACAATACTATTGTAGATAGGAAATTGTATTCTTTGGCTACATGGATTAAACTTTAAGAATACAATTTTTTTGAACATAAAAATTGGTGATTCTTAGAATCTGGTCATCCCACCTTAAAACCCATAACTCACAAAATGAATAAATAAAGTTAAATGAATTTAGGGGATAGGGGCATAAAGGAGGGAGAAAGCAAAACAAAAAATTAACAGTGACAATAAAGACATTCTAGGTATAGGCATCTTTTTAAAAATTAGGATATCTGATTCATCGGTGATTAGATAGACTATTGTTTAATTTTCAGAATGTTCCTCAATTACATATTATTTTATTGAGGAGAAATATATGTAACGTAAGATTTACCATTTTAACCGTGTTTAAATGTATAGTTCTGTGGCCTTAAGCACACTCACATTATTGTACTGTCATCACCACCATCCATCTCCAGAACTTTTTTCATCTTCCCCAGCTGAAACTCTGTATCTATTAAACACTAACTCCACATTCTTCCTCCTCCAGGCCCTGGCAAACACCATTCTACTTGTTGTTGCTGTGAATTTGACTACTCTAGGTACCTCAGTATCAGGGGAATCATATGATAGTTGTCATTTTGTGACTGGCTTATTTCACTTAGCACAGTGTCCTCAAGGTTCATCCATGTGGTAGAATGTGTAAATTTACCTTCTTTTTAAAGCTGAATATTCCATCGTATGTATACACCACATTTTGTTTATCCTTTCAATTATTGGTGGACGTTTGGGTGGGTGGCTTCTACCTATTGGCTGTTGTGAATAATGCTGCAGTGAACATGGGTATACAAAATATCCATTTGAGTACCCTTTTTCCTTTTAAAAGTTAACCAGTTTATAGGAGACAATGATCTAGCTTGTGTGTAGTCCCTTAAATCTAAAATCTTTCTTAAAAATATGACCAGGTATTTTAAAAAATGAAATGCCTATCCTGAATTAGGTTTTTATTTGTAAATAAAATTATAAACTTTTAATTCTAATAAAATTTAATTTTAATTTTAATAAAAGTATTAAAACTTTTAAAATTAAAGTACTTATCATAGTCAAGTTGCATGTTCAAATATGATCAGGTATTTTTTTAAATGAAATGCCTATTCTGAATTGAGTATTTATATATATATATATATATATATATATATATATATATATATATATATAACAGTCTTTTTAATGTAAAGTACTTGTCATAGTCAAGTTGTATGTTGTCCTAATTGAAATTTTGATTTTAGATTGAAATAAAATATTATGAATAGGCTGCAGATTTCTTCTCAATTGTAAAAATACTTATTTTCTGTGTAGATAATGAAAACTTTGTGAGAAGTACATGGAACTATTATAAATAGACTATTCTTTCCCTGACCTTGAAGGATCTGGGTGAAAAGCATTAAAGATTATAGAAAATATGAAGCAGAATGGACAGCTCAGAATTATTGATAAAAGTCTATCCTTAAAATTTGGTGATAAAGTCCACAAATTACCCGATTTATCATTGCTCAAGACTTCAAAGAAGAAATATTCTTTGTCTGAGCTGAAGGAGATAATTTCCAGTATTGTGTTTATGGCTTTTACATATTAGAAAGGAGAAGCAGATTAATTTCCCCAATTTTAGTACTTAGGATACATTCTTTTATAGAAAGGAGAATTATAACTAATATAGATGAATATAAAAATCTCTGTCAAAAAAGATTCCTTAAAGTTTTGGCTAACAGATTTTCCAGCAAGATGCAGACCTATTTCGTCATGTAAATTCAACTTGGCAATGATTTTTCTAGAACACGTAAGTAATTAATAGATGTATTCTTATTCAGCAAAACAGGAATGAGATTTGTCACCACACTTAAAAAACTATCTTTCTTTTTTTCTCCTTTACTTTGTTGTACTTAGACCTCTTGACAATGAAATAATTATGCAGGTGCTGGCAGTTCTAGAGCTTGATTCTGAACTGTGCCACTTTTGTTGCATACTTAATTCTGAGAAATTAGTAATGAAAATTTAGTCCTTTCTAGGGAATAGTGTGCCCATATAAA